CAACAGATCTCTTGTTTCATCTTTGACAAAAGGAAAACTGTTATATCTTTCATATACAGTACATTATGCATATTATGTGACTGTATATACACTATTTGACACTATATATCCTTGTTTATACATTTACATATAATAATGCAGTATGACACTATATCTAAACAAATATAATTTATAGCTAAATTATGTTAATGTTAATAAATGTAAACATATATATATATATATATATATATATATATATATATAAAACAAATATAATTTATAAATTATGTTCATGTTAATACATAAAAAAGTCATATTCTAGTTCTAAAAGTCTATTCAAAGTTGTTTATACATTTTCATATAATTATAATAATGCAATATAACGAAATCTAAGCAAATATAATTTATAAAGGTATATATGTATTTGTATACACATATCTATCTATCTATAAATAAATAAAAAAAATATCAAAATTTGCAGTTGCAGTTGCAGTTGCATAAATTATTTAAATTCCTGATTCATAAACACATCTGACATTTGAAAAACAGCGTGTGTGATATCTATATTCGGGCTTATTAGTGCTATGCTATATGATGGCAGAATGTTTTCAGATGCCTGTTGACAAGCTTTGGAAGGACAGAAATGGGTCAAATGGGTTTTAGCATTATCCAAACAAATCCAGGCCTATAGGATTAGACAGGATGGTGGCAGTGTGTTTGATGCATTTACCTGATGAAACAGCACTGAACTAATAGCCACACAAAAGAACAGGCTTTTTACACCGTTTGTTATTATTTCATATTAAGAATGCTGAATCTATAACTCATTGCGTAACTTCCACATTAGGAGTCTTGTTCATGATTAAAATTGAATTCTCTGTCTTTGAGAATGCTTTAACAAATAGCCCTTTTACTGGCTTCGATATTAAACAGAAGCAAAAAAACGAATTTTATATACAGTATATATATATATAAAACATTTGTTTCTCTTCTAGCCTATTCAGCGGTTCACATCTCTTTAGCAAGTTCCTCTGCTGCTGGAGTGTCATGGAAAGAGGGACCACATTTCATTTAACAGCTTATGTAAGTCTGAACACATTTCAAAAGCAGTAGTTTTCAAAGAGACCTAACAAATGAAAGCATTGGGACTCAATTAGAATAGATGTCTTCCTGTTCTCACTTAAATAAAGAAAATGCATTCATTTATTGCTCGTAGCTGCAGGGCCTCATTAGAGGAATATGAGGAATGGATAAGGCATTATTAAAGGGAAATTTAAGACAATCTTCTAACACTTCCTCTGTTCCAGCACTGCCTCATTTTTTAGTTTCGCTCATGAATGTGCTCTGTGATCTCATCTGGCTTAGAATCGATTTAGATGGCGATAAGCTCGGTTTTAAAGTGAGGAATGTGGGAACAGACGACTCTCTGATAAATTAATGGGCCTTGTTAGACATGGTCACACAAACGTCACTTGATCCAAAGGCCTAGAAAGACACAAGTGGCTCTTTTTGAGTCTTATCAAACACGGTCACACCATTTCTATTAAAGCAGAGCCATTAGAGAGGTTAGAGGCAGGGCCCCGCTCACCCGCCTGGAGGGAAATAACGCCCAACTTAATGTCAGAGCACAGCAACAGGTACCTGCAGCTAAACAAAATGAATGCATGACCGAATAGACATTTATGGCTAAAAAAGGTAATAGCAAGGAATTAGGTTGCTCACTGAAATTCATCTCATATCTCTTCTGACTGAACTGGCAAATTTGTCTGTTTGTGTGCACAGAGACAGTCTGTTTGAAGCATCTAGACCCAAGAGAAGAATGAATATGAATGAGATGGAGGGAGGGCTAAATGCCACCCTCACCATCCGCCTACTAATGCATGGCAAGGTAAGACACATCTCGGATCTTCACAGAGCTGTGCTTGTTTTGTTCTCAGCCTTGTTTTGCAAGTGCATCCAGTCAAGCAATGAAACCAGTACTTGAGAACGATTTATGAGTGTATAGGTGATCATTTTAGATTATAGATCGTCAATATAATTGATTATAAAATGTTGTCTTTTAGATAACATCACCAGAAATAGTATTGACAACATACAGTGGCATTTACGTGATCATCGTTTCTTATGAAAAGGAACCTGTTGTTGTCTGGGTCTGAAATAATGTCACAATCTTTCTGGTTATGGTATCTATACTTATATCTACACTACACAAACGTTTGGAATGATTACGTTTTTTTAATGTTTTTGAAAGAAGTGCTCACCGTGGCTGCATTTACTGTATGTGATCAAAAATACAGTAAAAACAGTGAAATATAATTAGCATTTAAAAGAACTGTTTTATATTTTAAAATATAATTTATTTCTGTGATGCAAAGCTGAATTTTCAGCATCATTACTCCAGTCTTCAGTGTCACATGATCCTTAGGAATCATTCTAATATGCTGATTTGGTGCTCAAGAAACATTTCTTATTATCAATGTTGAAAACAGTTGTGCTGCTTAATATTTTTGTGCAAACATGACAAAATACTATTCAATATTTGGGGGTAAAAAAAAAGGGTTGCACATACGTGCACTTACCTGTACTTACAGTGTACATACATAAGAAAGTACTGGAAAATAATTACATGGGTTAGGGTTAGGTTTAGGAGTAGGTTCAGGGTTAGTACCTAATTATTACCCAGTTATTGTAATTACTATAACAAGTACATAGCATGTACATGCGGAACAGGACTGTAAAATAAAGTGAAGTAAAGTAAACAAATAGATATTATTCAGGAAGGACACATTTATGTCTAATTTTGGCATCTAAAAGAAAACCCTGATCATCTCCAGTTTACTATGCAATCATTTAGATTAACCAAGATTTTGTTTGTTTTATGTGTTCCTAGGAAGTTGGAAGTATCATTGGGAAGGTAAACAATTCAGTATTATCCTGATATTTACATTATTGAATTAAGCATAACATTGAGTCTTTATTCTGTGGCGTTCCTAAGCACTTCTGTGTTTAAAAATGACTTACAATCTAATTATGATACACATTCTGATATAATTATCATTTTCCTCTTGTTTTGTTTTAGAAAGGAGAGACTGTCAAAAAAATGAGAGAGGAAGTAAGTGCAACATTGATCTTCATGATCAAATAGGACTAATCATTTTTATTTCTTTATGAATATCAAAAGCTTATTTTATATTTAACAGTAAGGTTTTTAACTTTTTTTATTAACTATGGACTGTTGCCTTGATATTATATGCAGTGCATATTATTAATTCTGACAAGCTGTGTAAAGATTAAAAGTAACTCATTTGGGTGGCCACATGTATATCAAAAACTAGACAGCAGAAAACAGCCTGGAATAATTTTCAGTTTGAGCAAAATCATCTTATTATCTGCATGATCAGTTCAATGGTATTTAACTGGCAGAGGGTGCAAATGTCAGCCTAGAGGAGAGACTGATCAATTAAACATAATGCAGCACAAAAACTCTGCTTTTTTCTGTGGATTTAGAGTGGAGCCCGCATTAATATATCTGACGGTTCCAGTCCAGAGCGCATTGTCACCATTACCGGATCGTCTGAGGTCATCTTCAAAGCCTTCGCCATGATCGCAGAGAAATTTGAGGAGGTGGGTGGGATTTTCCCAGTAATAAGTGATTAATGTTATGGGTGAATTGATGCATTTTAGTACACTATAAAAATATTAATGTGGATTTACATTTACACATTAATTTTACAGTAGTAGTTGTACAATTTTTTACAGTTACATTATTACTGAATACAGTGAATTCACATTGAACAGGAGCAGGAAATGAGTGATATAAAAGTAGAATGCTATTGAATCACAATTATCTGTGTCTACATTACAGTGATCTTGTATATTTAGACATTAACTGTAATAGTGTGATGTCCACAGTAATATGCCTGCATTGCATCCATAAAATATGTGGTTGCATTTTTTTACTGTTTGATATATTATGCTGTTGCTGCTTGTTTTTTTGGCTACTTGTTCATTTTAATTATGTTTATTTTTAAGATTATACCTTTTAATTGTTAGAGATAATGGGTTTTATAAGCATAGAGATCATACTAAACGATCTAATACTAAACAACCACTTATCTCACCACAATAGTATTGCTAAACCCTCCTCCCTTAACTGTTCATTCAATTGTAATATTTCTATAACTTACAATGTTGATACGTATAGTTTTAGTTATGAGTCAGTCACTTGCTTTATTTTCTACATGTTGCACAATGCAACAAATTGTGTTCTGTAAAACAACACCATTGCACTGGCTTTTAATTACAGTAAATTAGGTCCCAGCCAAAGGAAATGCTAATGGTGACTTAACAACTATTGACAACTATTAACACTTTGTTATTTTTGGTGATATATATATATATATATATATTGTTTTTACATTTTTTATATTGCGCAGCAAAATACCTAGTCAGTATTTTATTTCATTTAAAAAACTGTCAACTTGTGTTCCTGCAATAGTTTTTTCTCCCTTATAAACTTGTTTTTATTTAAAAATGACACAATGACTTGACACAAGCTGAATTGAGCTTCTTTCTGATGCATATGCATCTCTTTCAGGATATCCTGGCATCCATGATCAACAGCACCGTGACAAGCAGGCCTCCTGTGACACTGCGCCTCGTCTTCCCCGCCAGTCAGTGTGGTTCACTCATTGGCAAAGGAGGCTCGAAGATCAAAGAGATCAGAGAGGTAGATATTCTAGGTAGAGGTTTAATTGTTGGCAGATGCGCAGGGTTTGTAATGCAGGTCACAGCGTCTCCCAGATGATGCACGGAATGATCCGTTAAACAATTAGTTTCCGTTGCCTCAGCGGCAGGCAGAAACACTTAACAGCAGCATGATTGATTGTCCTCATCAAGTTAGAACTTTTTATTCCTGAGCACAGGGGGCAGCTCGATTCATGCTTCCACTAAATCCGCATGTTATGAGACGGCTGCAACCCTGAGCTGTAATTTCCTAAACTTTTGAACTCACTCACTTTTCCTCAAACTTATCTATTCATGGAATTCGTTGATGGAAAACAAAGCAATTCATCTCAAAAGTGGAACCATTAATTTTCATTTAGCTGTTGAAATTGACATGAGGACAGTGACTTTTGCTTGAAGGCTTTGTTTTTTATTCGGCTGGTGGATCACATTGAATAAATATAGCTGTCCTCGCGGCTGAGGGCTGTGAGGGGTGAACTGGCTGCTTTTATTCCCAGTTGCTATGAATGTCTAGGACAGGACGGCCCACCAAAGCCTAAATAGACTAATATTTATATACAGTATCTAAATAGCTTGACCTAAATAACTGGCCAGACGATAACAATGTCAGTTCTAGACATGAGAATAGCTGTAATACCAAAAGGGACAGTATGGCACACTTTTTTGCTATTCAATTGGAAAGAAATCAGAATTTGTAATTTTACAAACTCCTCAGTGCTGAGATGGAAAACGTTTCAAACTTTATTAATCAATTATCAATTATCTAAATATTTTATAATTAGTGGTCATATTGCAGTTGTGTTAATATGTGTAATATGAACATTGTAATTTAAAATGCTATTTATCAAACAAAATTTGAAATTCTCACATCCATATCAAAAACATGAAAAAGGTTCTTCAGATTTGTAAAATATTCTTCACAGTAAGAAAAAACTGTTCACTGAAATGTTCTTTTGGCAAAAAAAAACAACAACTTTTGAAACCCTTCATTTTAAGAGTGCAGGTAAGATTATAAAATACAACTATTATAAATATAATAATTACAACCAATTTTAAATTTGATGTCCGCACATTTATTTAATTGGTGAGTAGCTACAGTATGTAATAAGCAGGATAATGTACAGTCATTCGCTCATCATTGCAAAATAAACCCAGGCAGACAGGGTGACCAGGAATGCGGATGTGGAGTGACCTACTCCTTTTAAATGTCACTACTGAAAGAAATATGAATGATGTCATTTGTGGTTTTTCTAATCATCCTGTCCAGCATGTGTTGACTAAAAGTGTTGCTGTGTGTCAGAGCACAGGTGCCCAGGTCCAGGTGGCAGGAGATCTACTGCCTGACTCGACTGAGCGAGCCGTGACCATCTCAGGCACCCCTCATGCCATCACACAATGTATGAAACACATCTGCACCGTCATGCTGGAGGTTTGTGAGTGTGCACGTGAGAGCGCGTCCGCTTTTTATTTGAAAATCGGTGCGATTATGCACGATTTCCCTTATGCTTAAAATTTTATTTCAAGTGGGGTGTATTTTTCAGGTCTTTTTCTCCTTCACACTTCATTTGTATGCACTTTCAGCGCATGGACTCCTCATGCCATCACACAATGTGTGAAACACATCTGCACCGTCATACTGGAGGTTTGTGAGCGTGCACGTGAGAGCGCGTCTGCTTTTTATTTGAAAATCGGTGCGATTATGCACGATTTCCCTTATGCTTAAAATTTTATTTCAAGTGGGGTGTATTTTTCAGGTCTTTTTCTCCTTCACACTTCATTTGTATGCACTTTCAGCGCATGGACTGCATGTTAAATGTTCTTGTTTGCTTCATTAGTTACCAGCATCCAACCTCGGATGCCTTTGTTTTGCAGGATTTTCCCTGGCCCGCATTAACTTTGGGCTTTGAACAGTAAAATCCAGTGAGGCTTAACAGAGGTCTAGACACATACTGCCTAAACGACTTTGCTTTTGTCCTGACTGTGCTTGTCTCCCTCATTTAGTCGCCACCTAAAGGAGCCACCATTCCGTACCGACCCAAACCCACCGCGGGTGGCAGCCACACAGTGTTGTCGCAACCTCATGCTGCGTCGGTGAGTTCTCCATCTATATCTTAATGCAGAAACCATACAATCGAAACAGCTCTTCATGAGCATTAACGATTCCATAGTTCCCCTCAGTCCCAGTGGGACGCTCTGAGTGTGGATATTTATGCTAATGATTAGACTAAGATCAGCTGGTGGAATAAATCTCACCCCCAGATCCAATCAGTAATACAGTCACCAATGGGGCCATTGGACCATGCCAAGTGCTCTTAAACATGCAGATCAGACTTGCTTTGAATCAATAATTTAGATCTGTAGGTGTTTGAATTGGAAAGCTTGTAACTAATCATAAATACAGCTGTATATAGCTGGACTAAACAATCCGTTAATCAGTATTCCATTCTATTCTATTTTTCAGATCTTGAGAAATACTCACTTACTCATAAGGGTGTGTAATCTTAAGTTTTGACCCTTTATTTTTGACTTCTCCTCTTGGTATGTTGTCCAAAGGGCTTCTGTTGCTCATTTGACTGATCATGACATTTAGTTTGACTAAGGTGAGAAATGCAAAGGCTAGTTGTCCATATAATGAAAAATCATGACAGCTACAACTCTGTTTGTCTCTGGAAGATTAAAATGCTAAGAAACAGTTTAATTCTGTATTTTTTGCTATGTTTGATGATAGCATGGGATGTTCATGTGATGCCCCCTTGTGGTTACATTAAGAAGAGCTTAACATATTTCAGTCATAATTCCACCTGGCAGTATTAATTATGTTAATAACAAAGTAGTCTCAAGTAGACAGACTTTGACTTGTGGTGTAAAGTCTGGTCCACTTTGCAACTTATTCTGGCCAAGAACCACCCGCTTTAACATGAACAAAGCGGCCAACCACTGTTTGTTTTGTTTTACATGTTCTTTAGGGGTGAGTTTATATGAAATTAATTATCACAACTATTGACTGTCACCTAATAACTAATTCAAAATATGGCAGAGAAATATTGCCAAATACAGAAACTCGATGAGCAAAATGTACTGATTATTTCACACAGCAAAATAGTTTTGCTTGTGGATGACTACATACTACTAAGTGTCTCAAAAAGATTTGAAGCCACTAACCAGTTCTTCTTCACAAGTGTTTATATTATCAACCTGGTACACTATTTTATTTGATACAGTCCTGTTAACCCCAATTGTTACATTGCATTGCATTTGAGCTATGTGCTTTGAGCTTATGATTTTCATAAAGGCTTTCTAGGTTTTTATGAAATATGCATAGAACAGACTGTGGGTGGTCCATGGGTGTGCCATATCGTCTAAGACTGTGACTAATGACCAAGCAGCAAATAGGCAGTTGTTATTTGTATTAACCTAAATGTGTTATCTGTTCCACAGGCATTTGCTATTCCAGGACAGTTTGCCATTCCACCCCAAGACGTGAGTGTTAGTCGCACTGGCTGATCAGTATCATTCACAGCACACTGCAGTCCCCCAGCCACATCCCACCACTTACACAACCACAATTCTCCCACTGCATTCCTCACACACACACCTTAAGTGCCGATATCCCCGATATGGTCTCTGCCTATGACCACTTCTTTAATATCTAATATATCACTAACACTTCTAGTCTTTAGTTATTTAATATCCCTGGTTAAGACACAAGTAAACAATATTTGTTAAATGAATCATTCACATATGAATGCTATAATTACAAAGGTTACAAGGCAGCACTGTATTGCCAGAACCCTAAATATTATGGTTAGGTTTATTCAACTCCTAAACTTATGTAGTAAACTTCTGAAATTAATTACAGTTCACCATACAGGCAAACTATGTTAAACCATTCACCATACAGACTCCATTCTGTGAAAGCCCATTTCTGCCTCAGAGTAAAAAATCCAAGTAATTGTGAGATAATGTTTAAGTAGATAAAATTTGCCATATATATATATATATATATATATATATATATATATACACACACACACACACACACACATATACATACATATATAAAATTGAGATTGCAAGTCAATGCGAGATAAACAGGTATGAAAAACAAGTTGCAATTGTGAGATATTAAGTCCCATAGCAAGATATAGTCACAATTTGACATATACAGTAAAACTGCAGTTGCAAGATTTAAAGTTGATGTGAGATATACTGTAAAGCTGCAGGTATGAAAAACAAAGTCACGATTGTGATATATAGCCAAATTGTGAGATATAGTCACATTGTGACATACAAAGTAAAGTTGCAATTGCAAGATTTAAAATCATAGATAGATATAGTGTTCCTGTGGCTCAGTGGTAGAGCATTGCATTAGCAGTGCAAAAGGTTGTGGGTTCAATTCCCAGGGAACACACATACTGGTAAAAAATGTATAGCCTGAATGCACTGTAAGTCGCTTTGGATAAAAGCGTCTGCTAAATGCATAAATTATTAAATTATATACAGTTAAGTCACAGGTATGAAAAACAGTTGCAATTGCGAGATTTAAAGTCAATGTACAGTGAAGTCGTAGTTATGAAAAAACAAAGTTGCAGTTGTGAGATATAAAGTTACTGTGAGATATAAACCACCAATAAAGTTTCACTTGTGAGATTTAAAGTCAGTGTAATATATACAGTAAATTCAGGTATAAAATATATAAATGATAGATGTTCAGTATTAAAATTACAACCAAATGTGATGATGTATAATCATAATATTTGCATACTGTACCGATACTGTTGTGATTGGTCTTCTTTGTTACATTCTGAATTGTGATTGGTCTTGCATGTAACACATGTAACACTTCCCTGCATGGCAAAGGCGGTGTCACATAGTCTGTTAATTCTCACAGACAGTTGGCAGAAAACCAGACGTGTGTTATGACAACTGATTCATTTCACATACAAACACACCTCAAACCTGAACACGATTCTTTTCCTGCCTCTCAAGCAATTCAATTCCCTTAAGGAAATGCAAAGTTTTTCGATCACCTTATTTGGGAGAAGTGGATGGTAAGTCCAAAGGGGGACTTGATAACTAATCTAATTTTGAGACTTGATATGGGTGCTGTTCTGTCTGTAGATGTGAGTGTCCTCTGAAATAATTCCATTTTGATTGGCTAGTTCTAACCTCCCTTCCTGCCCCCGCAGTTGACCAAGCTTCACCAGTTGGCTATGCAGCATATCCCCTTTACCTCCCTTGGGCAGAGCAACCCCACCTTCCCTGGTACGTACCCAGAACTCCCCAGGGAAGTCTGTCTCTCCCTTTGTCTGTCTCTCTGCCTGTCTTTCTCTCGATCTGTCTCTTTCCC